TGCAAATGAAATAATAGTATTTCACATATTAAGCTAGGTGAAACAGTTTTTTCCTACGAGCGTGCGCAAAGTAGTACTTTTCCGCACGCATTACCGTTCTCAAAGTTATACTTTTCCGCACTCAGTGCGGATCCGGGCCTTATCCGCACTGAGTGCCGAAAAGTAAAAATAATTGTCAAGCAACAATAAGTGCACCTGTCGACTTTGACACATGATGACAAATTTCTCCTGTGTTTCTATATCAGCCAACATCTATACAAACACTGAATATAATTATCTTTAACGTCAGATTTGTGTTCTCCATTTACATGCAAGAATCTACAAACTTCTTTCGCATCAAATTTTTAAACGCCTTAAGATGAACAGCTCTGACGAGAATTTCAATTTTCTGTTTTTTTGTTATTTATTTTTTTGATGAATGAATAGGTTCGCTTCAAGTTAATTGAAAATAATTGAACAAATTATGGTTTTTTTTGTTTTTTATTTTTGTTGTTACCTACCTCATATGAAGCTCGTAGGAAAAAATTTGGGCCGAAAGTAAATGAAATTTTTAAAATTTATTGTACTTTTTGACTTCTACTTTCGGCCCACGGGTCGAAAGTTTACTTTCCTCCCGTGGGCCGAAAGTGAATTAAATTGTTAATTATTGTATTTTTTTAGTTTCAATTCAAATAAAAATTTCAAAATTCGAATGATTGTAAATAAAATAGTAATATACTATTTTATAATAACAATCAATAAACCCGAAATTTGAAGTTTATTTCTTACCTATCCGATTATAAATAATCAAACCACTAAACTCGACTAAACTGTCCAAACTATAAACTTTTTTTTTTACTACTAACCTGAGAAATAGTCATTATTCAATCTATTTTTCTAGGAAAAAATTGAATTTCTCTCCCTAGGTTAATAATGAAAATAATGAAAAAATACCTAGGTCAATAATGAAAATGACGTCATGATGCAAGGATATTGTCATGTTTCTATTGGTTTAATTTTAATTTCATACGTCAATTTAAAAAAAAAACAGGTTTCTGTAGATACATAGCAAGTTTCCATAAGCTGTTGATAGAGGGCAGCACTCTCAAGAAGGCGTTCAAAAAAAATTATTTGAGCACATATACTAATTTTCTATTTTCTACTAGCAGTAGTAAAAGAAATTCTATATATTCCTCGGTAGAGAAAGTCATTATATACCTTACGCATTATAAACCTCGGCGCTCTGCGCCTCGGTTTATAAAAGCGCTCGGTATATAATGACCAACTTCTCTACCTAGGTATATAATATACTATTTTCTACTGACGTTTCATGATACGCCTAAAATCTGTTTCATAATGAGCTTCATTATGATAAAGATTTTCATTATGATACAGATTTTTCAGCCACTGGAATCGAGTATTTTGAACATGAACAATGTTTATATATAAATAACAGACTTACTTTGGAATTTTGGATTGTTTCTATTTGTATTTAGCATGAGAAGGAGAAACAACAAAAAAATAATAAATCGGGTGCGGAATTTATGCCCAAATGACGTCTATATAGATCTTAATTTTTGAAATTGTCAACAATTGTCACCAGTTGAGAAGTTTACTATTCTTATAAAATAAATATGTTTTTCGTTTATTATTGCAAGTAGAAAAAATGGTGTATGCAATGTAATGTAATGGCCATTAATACACTCGCATGTTATATAAGAAACTCGCCTGCGGCTCGTTTCGTATCCTACAACATGCTCGTGTATTAATGGCTATCATTACATGATCATTGCATCATATACTATGTTTAAACAATAACATTACCGTTTTACATAAAAATAACAAAACAAAAAAATTAAAAAATGCCAATTGGTTAGGTTAGGTCATTCATATAGGTAATACCTATTATACTGATTTATATCGCGGGTTGTTTCGAGCTGGTGAAGCAAACAATACGAGATGAAAGTATGCGATCTTTGTGTAGGGAGAATTTTGTTTTCTAATGCGCATGAGTCGATATGAAATTATTCTACCAATAAGCAACAATTTTACGCAGCTAATATTGCAGTGTTGCCAGGGTCATAAACAAAAATAAATTGAAGAAATCACCAGAAAAACAAAAAGTCAAAATGATGCATAATATCCTCAACTTGATATGACAACACTGCACAAAAAGCATGCCAACCACCGGCCAATAAGAATCTAGCATTTACCGCGCGGTTGATGACCTCGTTCTACTTCGTTTGACAAAGAAACACTTATACGGGATCATATTTCTCTATTTCTATTTTTTTTTCTCCAAAATCCGCACATTAGGCAAATAGGAAAGGCGCGATATATTTTTTTTGTACACGTCAGTATAATAGGTATATGGGTTAGGCAATGAACTATAAACTACACGTACCTGGAATGGCCCGCCGATATAAAAATTAGCGGCAATTTGAGATAGAGAATGTGGGGGATACCTATCTCTATTTATCTTATTAGGGAATCATGAAAATCTTTCCTTGTCTAAAAAATATTATATATGAGGTTAGGAGTATACCAAACCTAAAATGCCATACAAATGCCATATCCGACAACGGTCGGTGCGATTCCAGATACGTGTAGTTTATAGTTCATTGGGGTTAGCTGATCAAAATGAAAGAAGAGAAACCAGTAGACAAGGTTCTTAAATGAGAAAGGTTGTCTCGTAATCAGGTGGTTGTAAACAAACGCTAACCCATCGCTAATCACACGGTCACAGACACGGTTCCAAGCATAGACATGTTCCAAGTGCAATTTATATAAGAGCTACGACCGACTGTTGCATTTAAAAATAATGATTTGGCTTGTTATGGAGAAATGGGCCAGATTCGAGAAAGAGTGGCCAACGTCTTAAAGAGGGCCAGATCTGGCCATCCGGGGCCACCTGTGGCAACACTGAATGAAACCTGCATTAAGCTACATACATTACACACATACTAACATACATACGTACAACGCTTGGTAGACAAGAGTGGGAAGGCTACGAAGTACCGCATAAAGAGAAGACGAAGAATAGGGAACGCTGTACAACTGTAGATATTCTATCTCGTTCCCTCGCAGGCTAAATCCCATAGATCTATATGTTGGTCTCTTTTTAGTGTTGCTTTTGACTTCAATAACAAAAAGTCAATTTTTTTTAAATTTTTATTAGATATGAAATGCAGAACATGTAATATATAGGGTGGGTTTAAAAAAAAAAGAATTTTGTTTTTGAGCTGTAACTTTTTTTGTTTGTTGAGCAATTTCCTTTTGTTTCGGCTTGTTTGAAAGAGAATTGAACAGGCCAACGAATCAAAGTGGAACTTTTGACATTTGAGAAAAATTCAAAATGGCGTACTTCTTCATAAATTACCTAAATTTGTATAGCGCTGGAACTTTTTTGTGACCCCCTGTATAACTTTTTCTAATAAATTCTGGAAGTTCATCATTTTGCGAACATTTCAAGTGAAATATTGAAATGTTTGTAATATCGAATATCACCTTTTCATATCCAAAACTAAGTAATTTTTGAAGATGTCCACCATTTTAAATTTTTCTCGAATTTCAAAAGTGCCACTCTGATTCGTTAGCCTGTTTAATTCTTTTTCAAACAAGCCAAGGAAATTGGTCAACAACAAAAAAAGTTACAGCTCAAAAACAAAATTCCGGTTTTTTAAGCCCACCCTATACATTGTGGGGCACGAAAAACTTCCCATCCAGGTTCTCTCAGGTATCACGTAATATATACTAACACATATAACACCTGAGTGGGAAGTTTTTCTTGCCCCACCATGTATATTAATTTATATCTATTGTTTATTGTTTTTAATACTCGACCAGTGGCTGCTATGTATAATTCAATTTGACGTTTTAATTGTCACGGCATTTGCTGATCTTCGGGACCTGTCTCCAGTTGCGCGCCTTGGAAATAGTTATTTACCTAACAAGTGCGGAAAGTTATACCTTTCCGTACGCAACGCACTGATATCCGTGCGGAAAATGAGTTTTCCCGCACGGTGCGGAAAAATTTCTACCGCACGTATATCAGTGCGGAAAAAGTTTTTCTTTCCGCGCGGCTATCAGTGCGGAATTTTTTTTTCCGCACGGCTAGTTAAAAAAAAAAGTAAAATTCTACATTTTTACGCCTGTAGGAAAAAAATTGTACCTAACACTTACGGAAAAAAAAATTCCGCACTCGGCTGCTTCACCGAACGACGGCAGACTCATGCGGAAAAATTCATTTTCCGCACTTGTTAGGGTGCGAAAATTGACATATTGTTATTTGTTTGTTTTTGGCTCCAGTAATAACAGAAATGGTCAAAAATGTGATTTTTCAATTAGGTTCAGTAACGCAATGATTTTAACAACAGAACATTAACAATTATTTTTATTATAAGTAGAATTAATTATTATTTATGGTATACAACTCGTTAAAGACGTCGATATTGGTCAGTACAAAAACCTAATAGCTTTCTTGAAGAGAAAAATTGGAGTGCGGAAAAGGGAAAAGTGTACTTCTCCGTACGCTCGTAAAACTTAATTATTGTCCACCTTGTATGCTCAGGCTATTTCAGTTAAGATGTTCGGCATTTGAAACCAAGAAATGATAAATTAGTTCGCCATTCATCAACTAAAATTCTTCGCCAGTGTATATTTTTGCAGATTTTTATTTCTTATTAAGTTTTGCTGTAAGCTAATATCCATAAATTATACTTTTTAATTTATTAGAACAAGAATCATCACAATACAATGAGATTCTGAAAGCGGTTTTTTGCACCGTCTATCTATGTCTACCCACATAAATCAATCTCGCATAAAAAAGCAGATATATGCCATGTCGTGACTTTGATATATCGGATACCTTGGAGCCAACACGCCTTCGAGCATAAAAAAAAATTACCGGTTCTAATTCTTTTGCTTCTTTGTTGTACAATCCCAAGTTAAAAAAATCTGCACACCTGAAAACCTAGAGGCTACCAGAGCCTATGTCAATAACAATATTTCTTATATTTCAGAATCAAAGAAAATGCCAGAGCGAATCTTAGCGAAGAAGACTCTCAAAACGAAAAACTACACGAAATTATATGTAGTGTTAGATCTCTTAGTAAATATGAAGGAAGGTCTTTCAGGACACTATTTCCACAAGTAAATATCACTATTTTTCAAAATATATTTTGTTTAACATGATTTATTATAGATTGCGGCAGCATCCATAGCTGCTTCTTATCACATAGTTGTAGGTATAAGTTTAGCATATTCTGGTATTTTGATTCCTAACTTGGTACCACACGCGAACAATGTTACTTCTGATATTCAAATTGTGGCCTCTACAAGTGAAACATCATGGATTGGTAAGTAGAATTGCCACATTTTTCATTCTTTCTCATTCCTTTGTATTCAATGATTCTTGTGTCTCATACTTGTGTTGTATCTAATTTCCTCATCTAAGTTGTGATTTTTCTATTAATTCTATTCAGCCATTTTATTTGTACTTAGGTTTCTGTTTCATTTCTCAATTTTTTAAATCTGAGGATATTTCCCAATATACAATATGAGAGCGATTTTGGATTGACTCCCTTAGATATAAACATCAAAAGGAGAACCTCGATAGGAGTTTAGAGGGTAATTTGAAAATTGGCATGAAATCGCAATGAAACAAGGAAACACGCATAAATAACAAAATTGAAGTCTGTCTGCGGAGACTTTATATTAGAAGTGCCACGCGATCACTTCAAGCCGAAATATTACGAGGAGAGCAAATTCAGAATCAACTACCATTCTCACATGAAACAGGCGCAAAGCAGACCTGGGCAATGCACTCGAAAAAAGTGCTTCGAGCACCAAGCGCCAAGCCCTTAGAAAAAAGAATTGCCAGCATCAAGCACCAAGCACTTTGGAAATTCTTAGTGCTTGCAATTACCAATTACCAAGGAAAGTAATTGCCCAATTCAATTACCAAGCACCAATTACTCAAAAAGTGCTTGAAATCATTGTTGATTACTTGCAGGTGCTTGCAAGCACTTTTTTTTCAAATAAATTACCAATTACCAGGCACTATGCCAATTGCTTCCAATTTATTTTCAAAATAAAGATGTCGCTTGACTTAGGGTCTGAGGAGAAAGCAATTTGAAACGTAATAAGTTTTAACGTTTCTGGTTGATGTTGATATGATGATAGTTATAATGAAATGATCAAACCAAAGTTTCTTGTTTTCATTTTATTACTAGTCTTCGTCTCTTCACTCTAAATACACTACACTACATTGTATCATCGAATATTAACATTATTATAACTAAAGATAAAGACTAATAAACTGTGGTAGTATAGTGTATAGTGTTAGATACAATGGTGTTAGTGAATAGTGTTGCATATTGCCTTTGCCAGCGAGGTGCGGGAATAACTCAACTATAAAGCTGGCTTCCCATCCCACGGCCCGTGATATCGCAAGCCGCGCCGCGCCGCCCTTCCCATGGAGCGTTGGCGCGTGTAAGCGTAGCCCGGCTTGCGGGCCGTGGAAAGCTAGCTTTATAGTTGACTTATTCTCGCACCTCACTGGCAAAGGCAATATGCAATATGCACACTATTTACTAACACTATACACTATACTACCACAGTTTATTAAAGTCTTTATCTTAAACACAACATACAACACAAATGTTTCCTTATTGCCGACGCTGAGACGGCCTTCAACCAGCCAATCACATTAAAGCTTATGCTGCCTTAATTTGTTACCAAGAACTTGATTTTTAGTGCTTGCAAGCACTTTAAATGGCTTGAAATGCGAAAATCAATTACCAATTACCAATCACTTTTTATAGAGGCCTTCGATTACCGATTACCGAGCACTGTATTTTAAAAGTCCTTGCAAGCTTTGTGCTCGAAGCACTATTGTGCTTGAAGCACTTTTTCAAGCACTTTCAAGGCAATTACTGCCCAGCTCTGGTGCAAAGTGGCCTGAACATACAAAGCACAGCTCAACCTCTAGGAAATAAGGAAATTAAACGACATCTGCGTTCAAGAAAAAATCAGACGGCAGTATCAACATAAAAGATAAACATACTACATGGTCAGGTGACCCCTAATGTTCTGGCATCTCAACGAGTGATTTTTAGGGCAGATGCAGAATGCAAAAAACCGCTGATACATCTTGTCACATGTCACGCGGTCATCAAGCTGGGTTCGAGATCACTCTTAGGCTTAGGTTCTGCTACTCCCCACATACCCTCAGATGGAATCAGAACCTGCAATGGGGATATCAAGAAAAACTTAATGAGTTCACTTGGGAAATTGCACTCGAAGAAGCGACCTACAATTCTCCAGGAAACCAAGCAATAAACTGGTTATGTTGGGAGCATGCGAATAGCACCCCAGCTGAAGCTCGAACATCGGATGATGAACCATTTACCCGCAGATCCTGGGAAGACGATGAGACAATGTCATACATAGTTTCCTCTAGTCTGGCATTTACCGCAAGAGCCACTCACTTTCTTAGGGGTTAACAAGAGGATTAAAATTCACCACTAGGGATTGCGGATTTTAGTGAACAAAACATTGACGGGATTGACGCACAATAAACCTCAGCTTCGCGTATTTGAGGGCTCTCCATGTTGTCCCTAGGGAATGGATCATCTAATGTAGAATGTAGGTACATATGGATTGTCTCCTGGGATGTCCATTGAATAATGAATAATCTCTCACCTACAGATAGGGCTCACTAATAAGGCAATTAAGAAAAATTGCTGAAAATCATATTTCAATACAAAGTCTCATCGTTAATTTCGAATTTATAATTTTGTTAAAAACCACTCTGTTAGGTAGCGATAAAGAAACAATGTAGGTACTCGTTTTCGAGGAGAAAACAGCATGAAACACACTATTTTAGTGCCTGTAGAGAGCTTTCATCCATGCAGGCTTTTTTTTGCATCAAGATAATTGGAGGTTTTTGAAAAAGTTACAGCGTAGCCGAAATTTCAAATTAAAAATTTTTCGGAAAATAAAAACTATAGTTGCTAATTGGAAATTGGCAGCTACCATTAAAAAAAACATAGGTTTATTTTCTCCTTATAATCTATGCACCTGCCTAATCATGCGTTTTACCCGCTGAAAGAGTTCTTTGTAGATAGAGGTGTAGATAGAAATCTATGAGTGTCCTTAGATGTACTTTCACAAAATTGTGCTTGCATAGTAATCTATCGATCTATCTATGTCCACATTGACCACATTCTATTGTGTCTTATTTATATACTTCACATTTATTCAATTATTCTTTTATTCCCCATCTTGCCCTCATATTACCCAATGATTTATTACTTAACAAATTTCCTTTGTGTTCCAATATACATATTTTGTTGTTACAAATAATTTCTTTTGCTTATCATCTTGTTATATTTATTTTTTTGTCGTCATACTGTACTGTTATTTTACTATAACATGAGCGAAATTGAAATGGTGTTTTTAACGGCCACCTGCCGTTATTGTCTGCCTGCTGGTTAAAATATAAATAATTTCCAAACAGACCCCTATTTGAGAGTGTTTTTTTTTTCTCAGATTGAAAGATATCTGCAGTATAACGGAAAATTTAGAACGAAACACGTCCGATAGCTGCAAATAACAGCCTAAGCTGATTATGATCCCCTGCTATTTATCGGCTTATAACTATTTTAGTGGTACCCATTTTATTCTGATTTTACTTGTTCTTAGAATATGCCATAAAGATTTCGTTGTTAACATTTTTGTCATTTTAGCCAGCGCAATAGTGATAGTAGCCCCAATCGGTGGCATATCCGGAGGATTCATCATGGATCGTTTTGGAAGATTGAACACGCTCAAACTGGCAACCCTGCCAGGAATTATCGGATGGATAATCATAGCAATGGCAACAAACGTTCCCATGCTGATTATTGGCAGAGTCCTAACTGGAATTGGAACTTGTACGTGAATAAATATAATTTCAAAAATCTTTTTTCTACTACCGTGCGTAAAGTACTCACTTTGCACACTATTCAAAAGACGTAAAATAATGTAACGTTTCTAGTAAATTTTGTCAGGCACTAGTGCGTAAAGTAACTATTTGTCTAAATTTATTTTTTACGCATATTTTAATGGTAGTAGAAAATAGTTATTTATGCAACAAGTGTGTAAAGTGAACCTTTTTTCACGAATGTGAAGTTTGACGCACGAGCCGAAGGCGAGTGCGACAATCACATGAGTGAAAAAAGGTGCTTTACGCACGTATTGCATATAAAAAATGTTCTACTACCAATCAAATATGTGTAAGAAAATAGATTTAGACAAATACTTTACGAACTAGTGCGTGAAGTATTTTCACTTTACGCACTAGTGCGTGAAGTAATTTACCAGAAAAATACTAGGTTGACAGTGTCAACATATGTCATCGACATTACTTTACGCACTAGTGTGTAAATTGAATTACTTTACACACTAGTGCGTGAAGTGGAATTTTACGTCGACTGAATAGTGCGTAAAGTGAGTACTTTACGCACGGTAGTAGAAAAAAATTTGTTTGCAATCTGTGTGTAAAGAACTTTACACACTTGTTGCATAAATAGCTATTTAAACAAAGTATTTATATAATTTTAGCATGGGGATCTAGCCCTGCCATTGTGTACATTACCGAAATTGCACGAGTCGATATGAGAGGATCATTGATTTCCTTTGGACCTGCTTATGCATCCTTAGGTAGCAGGAAAACAATTTGATAGTTAACACCAATAGTCATAATTCATTTTATTAGGTATGGTTCTTACTTTTCTGAAAGGTTGGTTCCTAGACTGGCGAACAGTAGCTTGGATGTGTTTGGGATATTCCGTAATACCAGTGATACTAATAACCCTGTTTATACCAGAAAGTCCAGCTTGGTTAGTGTCAAAAGGAAAAATCGAAGAAGCTGCTAAAAGCTTGAAGTGGCTCCATAGGAATCAACCTCAACCTGAACAAAGAGTACAGGAAAATTACTTTCTATTTGATAATATTTCTAATTTATTGTTTTAGACTGAGACGCTAGCTGAGCTCCAATTGCATCTTCTGCAAAAGGAACATGAAATTAAACTGGAAGAAGCTAGCCGGAAGGGTACAGGATTTATGGTTAAAGTTAAGAAGTTCATTAAGCCAACCGGATACAAACCATTGATAATCTTATTTGGCTTGTTCTTTTTTCAACAATTCTCTGGCATCTATATTACTTTGTTTTATTCTGTCACATTTTTTGAAGTGAGCAGTTTGCTTATAATATTGTATACATTCATTCAACTGTGAATAATTTTTAGAAAACTAGATCAGCTCTTAACCCATACTTAGCTTCAACATTAATTGGTACCGTCCGATTTGCCATGTCCTGTATAAACACTTACATGCTTAGGACGTTCCATAGACGACCTTTGATAATGTTTTCAGGATTGGGCATGTGCTTTTGTATGTTTTTCTCTGGATTATTTACCATGTGGATTATAGAAGGTGAGTAACTTTTTTTTGGGAATTAGATAGCACCCAAAAAGTAGAATATCTAACAACCGCGAGAACTCTTAGTTGGATAGTTAAAGAATGAAAAAATACCAAGAGATAGTTATCGTTTGATTAAGCCAATCATAGACAGTTGAATTGAATTATGAATTTGACACAAAATCGTTCATATGCACTATTCCTCAGCCCTTTTTTTAACGGCTTTCAAAAGGCCCTAGAAATAGTTATTTATGTACCAAGGGCGCAATTAGGCTGTTAGCGGCCTCAATTGCCGTTTGCGCATACCTAACTATTTTTACCTATGTCACCTACATCATAGTACGAGAGACGGCTGCAGAGAATCTGTCGTCATAAGGTGAACGAGCGAAAAAAATATGAATATTAGTTAAGGCACTAATTAAGAGAATAGGCGAAGGTTGCCTGCGAAAATCCTGCCGAAACAGTGTTTTTCGAATTTTTTTATTAGATGAATAATTACAGTAACTATCTTTTAGATGTGGACATGAAATGAAATCACCATGTTGTAGGGGAGCGTGAGACGAATTCAACCATATAAGGCTGCCGCCCCCCATTCTGCCGCAACACCCTGGCAGCCTGGCTAAAAAGATCGGTTTTTTATCAATAACTATCGTCATCAGGTGGACGCATAAATTAGGTCTCAAATTAAAGGTCTCGATCTCCTCTTTCCATCAAACTAAGGCTGCCTGCTCAAATCCTGCCGAAAAGATGTGGTTGCCTCGTTTAAAGTTTCCGGTACGAGCGCCGCGCGCTAGGTATTTGCGGAGCGCGAGGTGTTTATTGGCGAGAAAGTCATCTACAAAACACCGAAACGAGTTTTTATTTTTGCTCCTTGTCACTTTGCGTTACTTCTAATATTTAAATTATCGATAAGGATCTATAAAACAACACGTCAGGATCTAATACAACGCGCCGCGCGCCTGCTATTTGCGAAGCCAGGCACTAGGAATTCCACCCTCTGGCCGCTACGGCTACCACCGCAAGTGCAGTATCTGGACGTAGAAGTCGTCGAGCTTTCATTTCCCATTATTTAAAAAAAAAATCCTGTCCAGTTCACACCCGGTAGAAGTGAAACCTTCATCGAACTGCATGCATTACACACATACTAACATACACAGTGGCGCCCCCCCTCCAAAAGACTTGAGAAAGAACGCAAATAAATATAGTTTAAAAAACTAAAATACACGCTGGGGTGCTTTGTTCCAAATTTCTTATACACTGAGCACCCCACGCTAATATTTTTTGTTCATTAATATTTTCTGTTTATATTAAAAATTATTTTTCACTTTTTAGTTCAATTTGCTATAATAGCGTGTTTTTTAGTTTTTTCAAAATATATTTATTTTTCACTTTTTAGTTCGATGTATTATAAAAGCGTGTCAGCCCCAGAGATTTCCAGACTTTTCCAGACATTATCCAGACTTATTCAGAGCTTTCCAGAGTTTTCCAGATTTCATCCAGATTTATCCAGACTTGTACAGACTGATCCGGATTCTGGAAAATGATCCCCAGGTCTTTTGGGACCTTTTTCAGAATTTTTCTAACCCTTTCCAGAAATTTCCAAGTCTTTTTCAGACGTTTCCAGACTTTTCCAGACAATATCTAGACGTATCCAGAGTTTTCCAGAGTTTTACAGACTTTATCCAGATTTATCCAGACCTTATCTAGACTTGTACAGATTGATCCGGATTCTGGAAAATGATCCCCAGGTCTTTTGGGACCTTTGGCAGAATTTTTCCGACCCTTTCCAGGCTCTTTCCAGACATTTCCAGAGCTTTCCAGACTTCATCCAGATTAATCCAGACTTTATCCAGACTTGTTCAGACTGATACGGATTCTGGAAAATGATCCCCAGGTCTTTTGGGACCTTTTTCAGAATTTTTCCAACCCTTTCCAGAAATTTCCAAGTTTTTTCCAGACGTTTCCAGAGATTTCCAGACTTTTCCAGACAATAACCAGACTCATCCAGAGTTTTCCAGAGTTTTACAGACTTTATCCAGATTTATCCAGACCTTATCCAGACTTGTACAGACTGATCCGGATTCTGGAAAATGATCCCCAGGTCTTTTGGGACCTTTGGCAGAATTTTTCCAACCCTTTCCAGAAATTTCCAGGCTCTTTCCAGACGTTTCCAGAGTTTTCCAAACTTCATCCAGATTGATCCAGACTTTATCCAGACTTGTTCAGACTGATCCGGATTCTGGAAAATGATCCCCAGGTCTTTTGGGACATTTTTCAGAATTTTTCCAACCCTTTCCAGAAATTTCCAAGTTATTTCCAGACGTTTCCAGAGATTTCCAGGCATTTCCAGACAATAACCAGACTTATCCAGAGTTTTCCAGAGTTTTACAGACTTAATCGAGATTTATCCAGACCTTATCCAGACTTGTACGGACTGATCCGGATTCTGGAAAATGATCCCCAGGTCTTTTGGGACCTTTGGCAGAATTTTTCCGACCCTTTCCAGAAATTTCCAGGCTCTTTCCAGACGTTTCCAGAGATTTCCAGACTTTTCCAGACTTCATCCAGATTTATCCAAACTTGTTCCAGCTCACTTGGCTTGTTCCAGGTTCTTGTTGTGTGTTGTGTGTTAATATAAGCGTGTTAAAAAAGTGTTGCTTTTTCGTTTCGTTTCATCGGGTCGCTTTTTCGTTTCATATACAGGGTGTCCCAAAAAGATACCGACAAACTTTAAGGGGTAGTAGGGGACATCAAAACAAGCATTTTTGTTTATATAAACATATGTCCGCAAATGAGCCATTTGGGCTGTAGAGCAAAAAAACTGTTTGATACTTTTATTCTTCGCAATAATTAAATCACTGTTTACTTATTAATTTTGCTTTATTATCAAATAAATTATAATTTACAATAATTGTTCAAAATGTTGACCATTTACTTCAATGAAAAGATTACACCGTTGGGTCATTGACTGAAAAGTTTAGTCTACGAAACACCTGTTCGTAATGAGGAAGATCTGATAGCAAGGATACTGGCGAGTTGTACTCATGTAGAAGCTATTCCCGGAATATTCCAAAGAGTTAGCGAGTTGAACAATTATTGTAAACCATAATTTATTTGCTATTAAAGCAAAATTAATAAGTAAACAGTGATTTAATTATTGCGAAGAATAAAACTAGATACCAAACAGTTTTTTTGCTCTACAGCTCAAATGGCTCATTTGCGGACATATGTTCATATAAACAAAAATGCTTGTTTTGATGTCCCCTACTACCCCTTAAAGTTTGTCGGTATCTTTTTGGGACACCCTGTATAGGGTCGCTTTTTCGTTTCATCGAGTCTCAAATCACTCCCAACGATTCTAAAGAAGTTTTCACTTCAAAAATAAACGTGAAATTCGTGCTTGTTTTAAGATGAATTGTTTTCTCTGTTGGAAAGACGATGTTGTTCATCAATTTTCTAATGCAGCGTTGAAAGAAAAAGTGCTTAAATTCTATTGCGTATCGTACTGCTGCGAACTAGACCCCCTTAAGTATGGTTGGGTTCTTGAAAAAATAAATATAAGCCATTATGATTTGTCGGTGACTCGATGCCAATGACAGTTAATGATGTCTTGGTGAACACTGACGAATCCGATGAAAATGAGAATAAAGATTTAGATAACACTTTGGATAATTCGGATTCAGAAAGCGAATAATTTGGGCAGTCAAGTAACCGACTGCGACGTTTTTCTAAAGAATGTATTATAGACCGTGAACTAATGACAAATTTTGAGTGTTGAACTCAAAAAATTAAAATTTAGCGACCTTACGTGTGCATAGGTAAGTATATGTAAAATTAATTTTCCTTTCACAGAAAAAAAATAGTCCAGTCGCTAAATTTTCATATTTTGAGCTCGACACATAATTTTCAGTGGTTAAATTCCCAGAGAAGAGAAAACCAGTCAGCAAAAATCTGTCATTAGCTGACCGTCTATTATTCATCGATAGACTATCAAAATTTATATTTTGAAATTTAGTTAGGAAATGTCATCTTTTTGACATTGACTTTAGTTGTCAAAAGTGGTTCATTTTGGAAACACACACGCCAAAATAAGCAGGTGTTCTAGTTCTAATACAGTGTTAAAATGAAATCTCATTTCATCCCTGAATGTTGAGATGGGATTTAGAGTGCGTTCCGTGTGAGTGTTTAAATGAGTTTATAAGTATTTTGAATTTTAAATATTTTGAATGAATCACAAAAAATACTGTATGAAACACGTCGCAAGGTTGGTTTTTTGCACGTAATTTGTTGGACCAATCTTCACATCAGCACACTCATTTTACAACTTGTTGCATAAACAGTTAATTGCCTACAAATTTTTTTCTTGAGTAGTATTCGACTACTGAAAGGCCAGACGCAGTCAGAAACAGTAAAATACATTTTCTTTAGGAAATTGAATTTCATACTTGGCATTTCACAGTCCTTAAAAGCATTATTGGAATACGCATACGCTGACATTAAATTCGCAACTAATATCGCAGAAAATGAAGATATGTACTTTCAATTATCAGTCGTAGTCATGTGCATTGAAAATTATCAATAGCAATATAACGAGTGCAATGGAAATTATCGATAATTTTTGGGAAATTTGCCCGAATGCATTTTTGGTTGAAAAAAAAAGCACGACTGCACGTAGTGCACGAGTGCCTTTTTCAGTTAAAAACGCATGGGTGCAAATTTGTCGAAAATTATAAATATATTTCTGTTGCACGAGTTGTATTTTATGAGAGAATTTCATGAATCAAAAATTTAATTTTTATGTCAAAAAATATCAAAACACCAATTACTGTGCAATTATCGCGATAATTTGCACTAGTGCGTAAACATAACCTGATTGGTTCAAATCAACAATCAAAACTTGTCAGTTTATTGTTGGCATGTCAGTTTTGAAAGATGTATGAAATTCTCAATAGTAAATTGAGAATTTCATAAATCTGTCAAAACTGACATTTAAGGGATTCTGTCTTTAGGCAATT